ATTTAAAATAGAAATACTCTTTGGGCGTAGAAACCATTGATAAGATTGGATTTTCTAAACAATTTCATTCTCTTTCGACATTATGCTTCGTTCATAATTGTTCTCACTCTTGTGCGAACATTGCATATAACTCGACCTTTATACGTCATATTCCCACCTCAATTAACATATTGCGTAATTATTTCATTATAACTGTATCGACTCTAGTCAACGCGCGTGACAAACCACCGCAGAGCAGTTGCTCTGTTGCTGGTAACACTTCACGTTTATTGATCGTGCATGGATTCAAGGATCGATATTCGATAACTTTATCGAAATATTCATTCAATATCCTTTTTTTTTTATCCGATTACTAGATCGGATATTAAAAAAGTAGGAGGGTCGTATTTTGATGAGTCACTAAAACGGATAACGTTCGACCTATTTCACTACACCAATATGAAAAATTAAAATTAATTCTTAACTGGCTAAACGATTTTATAAATAACTCGATTACTGGGTTATAGTTATTTCCAGACAGATTCCATTTGAATTTGGCTGATAGTAATTATAGGTCAAATAAAAATAAAATTAAAAATACATTTTTCAATGACTAACTCCCAAATGAATATATCTCGTTACACGTGTGTGTGTTAAATCATTCTCTAAATACAATATATTCATAACATGCCTGCACAATCACGTCAAGCATCTGATCATACCGGGAGGGACGATAATATCATTCGACTTCAGACCCGTTGGGAAACTTGGTCTTCCAGACTTCCTTTTAGTCTGTCATCAAAATAATTATTGCGGATTATAATTATGTTTATATAACTAATTTTGCATATTAGGTATTATGTATTAAACACGAACGCCACATTTTAATATTAAAATATTAATAGTAAAATAAATTATACATTTGGATAGGTTTCAGACGATTAATCTGAAATCGTAAATAGTTTATGTGCCTTGGTAAAGAAACTGTTATAATTGAAGAAAATTTACGAACACATGCACCATTAGAAAATGTCATTCTTCATACAAAACTTTAAATAGGATTGAAAAACTCTATTTCATGCGAATGATGGTGATTGCATAAGACACTTCTAGTAGTCACGTCTACAATCTCGCAAACAAACTTCCTGTAGGATAGGAAAAGAGATAAACTCCAACATATTCGATTCCCAAAGGTCTCACGAGTTTTCCGATTTACGTTGATCGGAAAGCTCGGCTTACGCGTTTAAGTATTCGTACGACTGTCGCGTGATTTTTGTACCAAGGTTTTATCATGATTTCGAAGCTAGACCGTCTATCTCGATGAATCTTTATAGAAGAACGACAACCTAGAAGTTACACGGCTTTACCCGTAGTTCATATTTCGACAACCGTCTGGGACAAAAAAGCTCGTTCTATACAACACGTTATGAAAGAGAAGGTTAGGAAAAAAAGTAAAAAAGAAAAAAAAAGAAAAAAAGGACAAGCCAAGAAACTAACGATAATAATCTTCTTAGGGCACCCCCGTGATAAATGAAGTTTTCGTGAAAAGAACACAGCGTTGTCGAGGAAAGCTAAGTATGCGTGTAATGTCCAAGGACTCTTGATTGATAGATCGGCTGGTAGCAGATTTAAAATTCTATTGCTCCGATAAAAACTCGATTGACTTCGCACTTGACCTCTTTTCCCTTTTTTATTCTCTTTTCTTCTTAGCAAACCTTTTTGTAAAGCCTTTTATATATATATATATATATGTCTATTTTCTACATCGTAGATTCTTTCTTCCTTTTTCCCTTCCCTTCTTCTTTTCCTATTCTTATTCTTTTCGTCTATCTTACATAAATTGGTAAAAAAAAAAAAGGACGCGTAGTCAAGGAAGTTATTCCCAATGAGGTATAACATACTTGTATTCCTCGGAGAAGAGTCCTCTTTGCGTTAACTCTTTCTATGAGCCACTTCTTTTTATGTCGACTAATGTAAACTCTTTACTTTCGTTTCTTTCTGCATATCCAATGTCCTTTCTCTCGTTGGTACTAGTTATTTACAAGTCAAATGCGTACGATCAATGCCCGGGAGGAAAGAGATGGTGGTGGTTAGATCCAGGAAAACGATACGGAGGCCAACGAACGTATAACAGAGACTGAACATTGAAAAGAGAAGAGGACAGAATCGGAAATAAATGTGATCAGACTTTGGGAGGCCGCATTTACTTTAGCTTTGAACATTCTTCTTTGTGCATGGCTAGTATCAACAAGAAATAACTCGCAAAGAAGGCTGCTATCAGAGGATCAAAAAGACATCGGAAAGAAAAGTTACGAAAGGATTTTACCAAATTGCAGATGAACTTAAACAACTGTAGAAGCTTACTCGATCGATGAGTTTTATATTCTTTCCCTTCTTCGCGAAAGAAAACTTATCCGCGTTACATAGGCCACCACCATGTTGTGGCACATCTCAACAAAATTTCTCTCTATTTTATACTTTTATTTTATTTTTAAAACGCGTAGATGATTACCCGAGCTATATATCTTGTACTTCGAACTTTTCATTATTTCAAAATTACAATCACGACTATTCTATTTCTTCTTAAACCTTGCCTTCTTCTTTAACGTAATAATGTTACCAGTATTTTGCGGTGGTTGCTTCGTAGGTTGCGAAAATATAATATATGTATAAAGTTGTTTTCAACGTAATTTTCGACAAAACGACCCACGGGATGCTTCTATCCCTAAGTCATATATAGTCTAGTTTTATTATTTTATTAAGATGTAATGTCGACGCAATAACGCTAGCCTCCCAATTAATTCTACGAATACTCGAGAGGCACTAGGAATTACAAAGGTATTATTATTTTTTTTAAGTAAGATAACTACACTAGTGGGAGAATTCCTAACGCCTTTTACGCGCTAATAATTATAATTTTGAATATTTTTGGTCTCCAACATTTTGGCCTCGTTTTCATAATGACAATACAAACACTACTGAATAAGGAATGGAAAATAATGGAGAAAAGCTCAATAAAAAAAAAAAGTGAGAAACAAAACTGATTTAAAAAATCTTGCTGTAAAATACGAGAAGAAAGAACAGCTGTGTTACTTTCACCCCAGAAGAGTGTACTATTTCAACGAAACTTTGTTCTCGAGAGTTATTATATGCGACTCTTTCAGTGAAACTTTTCTGACGTTCAATAAACCACTACTACGACAACTTACGTTCATTACGCGTTTCTAGAAATGATAAACTATTTTATACGAAGACGCTATTCTTTTTGTTCACTTTTATCCAACTACATCTGACAAACGAAAAAAAGAGCTATTATCATCGCTCGAATATTATTCTCGATCTCCTAATTCTTATGACTTTCACGGTACCATCTACCGTTCATTCTCAACGGCAATAGAATTCGAGTAGGGTAACAAAGTCTCTCAGGAAAATTTCATTATTCGAAGTAACAAGACTGCTACATCGGACGTTAATTCTTCTATCGTGCGACATTGAAATTTATAACCCTCAGAGCGATTTCCGTTAACCACCGCGCTATAACTCGGTCAGCTCTTTCGCCGACTTTTGGAATAAATTCAAATGGTAAGACTGGCGCCACGACGGTGTACAAGCTTACACATCCACAGTCAAAATCCTTTCCTTCTTTTTCCCTATCTCTTTCTTTCTTTCTTTCTTTCTTTTTTTCTTTCTCTTTCTCTACTTTTCGTACTACGTCTCAGAGGGAGTAAAAGAGAACAGAACAACGAATTGCATCGGGTTTTGCCTGCTGGCGAAAAGAGTAATTTGATGCACAACCTCGGACTCCACGGTCCTAGCAATAATAAAAGGAGTAAAGTGTACACTCGAGCAGAAGCACGCCTCTTCGGACTCGCCCCCTTGCCGTGTTGTATTAATTTAACTTTGGCGACACGTCGACGGCACGGCCTGCCGACTCCACCATCTCGAGAAGTGAAAGAGAGAAAGAGAAAAGTAGAGAACGATATTAAGCTAAATTACCGAAGTTATCTACCGGTGTGTAACTCTCCTTTTAAAATTAGAAAACGAGAAGATGGTAAACAACGATCCTATCCTTGATGATAGTAGAAGAAAATAGAGATGTCTTGAATAAGAAAGTTTAGAAGGGCGAGAAGGTAGCTTCCAATAGTAGACCACCGGAATTCCCTTTTCTGTTAAACGACGCATCGAAATCTTGCTTTCCAAACGATTTACTTCTAGAAGAGCGTTTAGCTTCCGCCCGTTAAAAAGATTTCTATGATTAACGAGGTTCTCTCGAGAAATCTGTGAAATTTGCTTGCTTAACGACTCTTCTCGTTTCTCGGAAAAATAGTAACGCAAAGTTTTTCCATTTTCACGAGGAGTAAGTATCGCTTGCTGATATTTCAAAAGCTTTTCGAACTTTAGCGTTAACCACAAAATTCTCGCTACAATGCCTAGCATTTATTTCATTTAAATACTTCCCTATCGATAAATCGTTTGTTCCTTCTCTGAAAGGAAAATAATATTTGTATATAGATAGTGGATAATTGCTTCGAATTAAAATAAATATCGATTACAATTTGCATAGTTAAACCAAGTTTCAAGATGAAGATTGCAGTGGTGGGAAAGAGAAAGATTCGAAAGTTTGGGCGATGGATAATAAAAGCATAAAGTGAAGTTACAGCGAATTTTACTTGTTTAGAGATATGAAACTCTACTAACTACGGATAATAACCACTTTCAGCAACTACGGCGTTTCAAATATATTCTAATAAATAATAAACTTTTTCATAAAACGTAATTTTAAATTGTAATAAAAAAGACATTTTTAATAATAGAAATATAAATGGAGAATGAAAATGAATGTCTTTTTGTTACTTAAATTTTTCCTTCTGTTGCGAAAATGACATTAATTAAAAGCTTAAATATTAATAAATTTATCTTTTTTATCATGGAAAAAAATGGCATTACTGCGTTATTCTGTAAATTAATGTTACGTGTTGTAATGCGATTTATCAACGACCAACATTTGTCTTTGTTCATAGAAATTCTCAGGATGGAGTTGACAACGGCGAGGTTGTTACTCTACTTGATGCTGACAATGGTGGCCATGTGCCGAGGACAAGACGTCGCGCAAGACTGGATGCAGTGCACGACGTCGTCGTGTAAATGCAAATGGGTGTCCGGTAAGAAGACGGCCGAGTGCATGAGGCAGAATTTAACGCAAGTACCGCAAAACTTGTCGTCGGAAATTCAGAGTCTTGATCTCACCGGGAATCGAATACCTCACTTGATCGAAGACATCTTCAAATTGAACAATCTCGTAAATCTTCACAAACTGGTACTGCGCGAATGCGGGATCGAGTCGGTGCATCCTAAGTCATTCAGAGCACTGAAGATCATAATCGAGATTGATCTCTCAGCTAACAACATTAGAACGCTCCATCCGGGTACTTTCGTCGAGACCCTACGACTCAGAGTACTACTCTTGAATCAGAATAAACTGAGAGTTCTAGAAGATGGTTTGTTCTTCAACTTGACCTTTTTACAAAAGGTCGAGGTATCCGATAATAAATTGGAAAGAATCGAAAATAAGACTTTCCGTAATTTACCTGGACTCCAGTCACTCACCTTAGATGGAAATAATCTAAGCGTACTTAAGCTTCACAGTTTCGAGAATTTACCGAAATTGAACAGTCTCGAGCTTCAAAATAATCCTTGGAATTGTAACTGCCGACTCAAGAAATTTCGCGACTGGACGATAGAGCGGAAACTGTACACGAAGCCTAATACTTGCCAGCAGCCAGCCAATCTTGCTGGGAAGATGTGGGACGAGGTAACAAGCGACGACTTTGCTTGCCGTCCGGAAATATTTGCTATTGGACCAACGGGAAAACTCGAGATCGGCCAAGGAGATGCAAAACTTTGGTGCAGAGCCACAGGCACTCCTCGACCTCAGGTAAACGCCGTTTTTCCTTAGATTTTATATCACGATATTTTACAAGCAATTCTATCCTATTAATTAAAAGACACCGGTAAAAAAGAAACACTTGCTTTTTTATTTTTCTTAATATCAATTTTCTCTCTTTCATTTTGCTGATTTCACATGAACGCTTCTAAGAGGTTTTTGAACGCGTGAGATATTTCTAACTATATATATAAGGACTATCACGTAGAACATATTTCCTTCTTCTTAAACGCTAACACGTTAGTCTGTTCCGGGTTATACATTTACGGAAGATCTAGTGGGACATATTTGTCTCGCGTCTCGTGACATTCGAAAAGTCAAGTGAGAATACATTACTTATCACGCACGCTTTCGGATATGACGAATGCGATCGTATAACCAGTATCTTAACCAGGTGTTATAGTACATTGTGTTCACGATTCGTCATACTTTGGACTGTCAAGTCATTGCGTTTATGAATCGAATTAAAATTGGACATTACCTTACGTGGATAGAAAGTGTCACGCGATGTTGACTCGGTAGTTTTTAACTTGTTTGGTTTCGCGATGATCTTGCTGATTAGAAATGAAACAATAATTTTTGAAGTACTGTACAACTTTAGTAAACATGGAATTCTTTTCTATTAGAGATGAACAACATTTCTCTCTCCTTATTTATGTATTTTTAAATCTAACGAAATAATCTTATATTGTTGTTTACAGCTCGTCTGGGTGTATCGATCAAAAATACTAAATAATCAAAGCAGACGACATAACGGAGAACGTGGCTATATTATCGAGTCCAGCAACGATTGGTTGAATCTGACTATTCCTAGCGTTAGTACATCTGACAAAGGTGATTACGTTTGTCTTGCAAAGAATCCAGGTGGTAGTGTAGAGAAGAATGTAACTTTGAGTATCGTGGGTGATACCATCGGTGGTAGGGATAGTACGATCAGCCTACCGTTAGCTATAGGACTCGGTATCGTAGCCCTTTTACTTTTTTTCGTCACGATGACGCTTTGTGCTTGCTATTGTCGACGTCGTCGAAGTCATCACGATGAGAAAGGCTTGGAAGCAGCATCCTTAGAACGTCATGGTCTGGGAGAACAAGAGAAGTCTCTAATCACAACTATAAATACCAGCTCGGTTAAAGCAGCCAGGCGATACGAGGCACCTTCCGTGACGTCGCACGGCACCGAAATGACGGAGCTGAACCGAACCCTTCTCGACAACGACTCGGTCTTCGGTCAGTACACTGCATATATAACTAAACAATGTGCCGTCAGGTGCTAGCCGGAGTAACGATCGGTCAACCGCAACGGCCGCTCCTATGCACCGCGTTCACTCTGACGTTAACGAGCATCGAATGTTACTCGTGAGAGCGTTGAACGTACGTTTATCTTAAGATTATTGCAAATGGAAATATCATTTTTATTCGGATAATTATTTCATATAAGAGTTTAACTAAATTATCCAAATTTTTTCATTCCATCAAAATAATCTATACTATGGGTTATTTATTTAATGTAATATTTCCAAACTTTTGTAAATATTGTATCATATAATCGACCGATAGAATATTGAACATTTTAATAATGTATATAGCTAAATTGTAATTTATAAAAAGCCAAGTTTCACAATAGTAAAAATACATAATGAGTTACGAAGAAAAGGTACAAAAATTCAACGCGCTCTCTTGATTAGAATTACAGAGGTCGATATAGCGATTTAAGATTTAGGACGATACGATCGAGCAAGCACGCAGTACAATCGCTTTGTTAAGGGAAACAGGACCCGCTAGATAAAAACGAGACTTTAATTTAAAGTCACTGATAAAAGCGATCCTTTTTCACGGTAAAAAGATTTATTATCAGATCTACTCGTTGGCTAAATAGCTTCTTTGGTAAATAAAGAATGCACCAAAAAGCCATCCCATTAACGAGCATGAATCTGACGTATCGATCGAAACGAATTTCTCCATAACTTGGATGTTTGTTACGTTTCTTCCAACCATCAGGTAGACGTAATAATATATTTATGAGTTAAATGAACGACCAAGGTTCAGTTTTGATTATATCTTTTTAAAGGACAAAATTAGTTGTTAATGTGAAACTTCGATCTCACTTTATCTTTTGCCGGAGATAGATAAATATAAATATCTCTTTATTTTACATGAAATTCTTTCGTCGATAAAGTTTGTTGTTCTATACGAATATGCAAATATCGAGGTTTGCGACAAAAACATTGCATATCTAAAGCTATGAGTTGAAAAGGGAAGAACGAGAGAAAAAGAGAAAACAGGATAAAAACGAAGGAAAAGGAGAGAGAGAAAAATTTTTCCTAAAACTAATATAACTTAAATGAAACGAGGAGAAAACAATGTGGTACCGAATGAAATGTTTTTAAAAATCGATATTTTGTTTCTTCTTTTTTTTTTTTTATCTGCATGCAAGTTATTCGTTTACTACAGACCAGAAAAATTTTATGCAATAGAATATTTTTCCAAAATAACAAATTCTTAATCTAAACAATCGCTTACTCAAAATAAATATTACTTTATTGTTGCTTGTGAAAAATATAATAACAGTGTTTTGTCGTGTAAAAAAAGTCATAATTAGAAATAAAGGAAAAGCAAATTTCACTAATATTTCATTATAATACTTCTTTTTTTCCATGGATGAAAATAAAGAGAAGCATGAAAATGAGGACAATGTGTCCAGTAAAATGAAACGTTAATGCAAATGGGAGGCTGCTATTTCTGCACGAGTTCTCATTGCAAAACGGTCAACGACATCTTTCTTTTTACCTTCTGCTTATTATTTCGCAGAGATGTCAATTGAAAATTGTTCATATAATTTTGTTCTCTAACGGTAAATTTATTGTCAGAAAAGTTCTGATAATCTAACAAATTTTAAATAAGTAATTGTCAAGGATATTTTTCGAAAATATCGTACATATGAATTTGACAACGAAATTTCGACAATACCTATTGTTACTTCGAAATGCAGAGGAATGAATATAACGTTTACCTTGTCCAAATTATGTTCACATAATAGAGAGACGGCGGATCTTTCCCTTTTGCGTTCGCTGCTTAACCACAATAGGACCGGCTCTCGACCGCGCCGTAAATAATTGCAAACGTCTCTTCGCCTCCTCCATATTGGCTTTGTGAGTTTCCACCGGCTGGACTGGTCGGTGGATCCGGTCGCCATGACTTCAATATGCACGCTAGAGATTGTCCAAGTCCACTCTCTCCATTATATTCGTTATAGCATATAATTTGTATTTTCTTTTTATTTTCCTTTCTCTTCTCTTCTCTTCTCTTTTCTTTTCTTTTCTTCGCGTAAAATTAGATTTTCCTTCATTTTGTTTTGTTTTGTATTATTTTATTACCACGTTGCTTTATTATTACCTGCAAAATATTTCAAGTTACATTTAAAAGATACATACGTAAATATATAATGTAGGAAAAATAATGGAATTTAAACAGCTTCTTATATTTTATGATATTTTCTACTTGTAATGTTTTTTTTTGTTTAAATTAATTTCAGATAGATACAAGATAAAGAAAAAGAAAAGAAACTACGTGTTCTAAGAATTTGTAGATTGTGCGATGTAATTCGACCATGCTAATGTTGTATTCTTGATGGAACGTTAATTTCTATCATGAAAGGATAAATGATCGGTGGGTTTCGGATTACCGTTCTTCGACGGGCGCGCAAGGCTTAATACGGTACTCGTTAACGTACGGCATCGTTAGAGAAATAAAGATCCCGATCATTATGTCGAGACTTCGATCGTGACATCGACTCTACAACGATCCTAATATAAACTTCGAGACACGGCGAAGGCGAGTTTTCGCTTCGTCACTTCGTTAGTCGCGAGCACTCTTTCTTACCAAAGTTATATGATAATTTCTGCCGAGTATTTTATCAATAAGTTACTGACTCCACTTGTATTACAAAGTTAAGTATCTATCCGATCACAAGTATTGAATAAGTTGTTCAATTCGACGACAGGTAATTCAGTGACGTAATCAAAGTTCTCCTAAAGGAAACTTGTCCAGTTTAGTATTTCTTTAAGGAATTGTTTAATTGGATGCAAACGATAGTAACGCGCTTATTGGGAAAATTGATTTTCAATTGTCAGTACAAAAATAGGGGGTTATTTTGAAAAAGAATCGTGACAAAGTTTCGGTCTGCCGTACGGTTTTCTCTCTATCTCTACCTTTTTATTTTAAGTTTATAATTGATTTGTCGCGTAAGCTCTTTTAAAATTTTCTTTTTTAACGTTCGTCCTTCCCCTTTGTTTCTGTTTTGACAGCTGACGGTGTGGTCGGTAGCGGCGTGATCGGCAACGTGGTTGGCGGAGGATTGGACGAGGAAAGAGAGGAGGGTACGAGGACAACAGAATTCGATAACGGGGGTGCCGGTGGAACTTTAAGCCGTGTCGGAAATGCCACTTACCGACAGTATCCGCCGGACCTGTTGGCTTTCTCCGGCGGTCGTGGCGCCTCGCCGACTAGTCAGGCTTCTACAGCGCCAGACAACACTCGTCTTCCTAGCCAACAACATCAGCAACATCAACCGCAACAACAACAGCAACAACAACAACATCAGCAACAAAGACAACATTCAACCTCGAGTCCTACGTCTTTGGGCTATAGCTCACCGCTCGGACAATATCCTGCAACTTTCAAAACTCTTCCTCATAATAGAAGCGTCACGCCATACGGGCTCGCAGGATCTGCAGTGGCACCAGTGATGCCTCGTCACGGATACGTGACCATTCCGAGAAGACCTAGAGCTCCTAGCTGGAGCAGCGGCCCGCCGACATCGCCTACGGATGTATTAGAACCCGTCTATGATAATTTAGGCGTACGTAGTACAGCAGATGGCAGCTCAGTGCGTTCTCTAAATAAAAGTCCGGAAAGCGGACCTTCGGTCAGAGGAAGGCAGATTCCTGGTACACCGACCTCACACTATGCAACCATGCAACGAAGCACTCCGAACATATTAGCTGGCAGTTCGAACGCACTCGGTACCCTTGATAGATCGGCGCCCGAGGGTGCTCCCGAGGCCATCTCTGATTGGTCCATTAAATTGGCTGACGAGACTTTCGATATCAGCTCTAGATCCCTCGGGCTGCAACAACAAGGTAACAACACGTTAGGTAGGAAGATTCCACCTAGGCCACCTCCAAAACCTAAAAAGAAAACGACCAATGGACCTCTCTACGAGGACGAGGATGAGGACGGCACGGAAGTATGATCCTATGAATATAATGGACAATGAGGACGTCGGGTCTTCCTTCTTCTTCATTCCCGCCACTACTACGTCGAGCCATTTAACTCTATCGAGTCGCCGACGAACTCGGGAAAGAAACCAATAGTGCCTTCATTCGAAGATTTCGATGATTCTTCTTCCGATGCCAGCGCAAGTCGATGCAATTCTTCATTCGGAAGAAGAAATGATACTGCGACGTGACGATGACGAGGGGACACCGATTCCTCGTTTTATCGAACGTCCAGCTGACGAGGAACGAAGAATACGGATTATATCTCGCGTGGGATGCGATTTATCGCTATTTCTCTCGATATGCGTTTTATTTTTCCCAGTTTCTTTCCTCCTTCCATATTATTTCTCCGATCACAATATTTTCGTTCCTTTCATTTTCTATTTCACTTTTCATCGGCTCGTCCGAAAAACGAGAGACCAGAACGATTTCACGATTATATTTACGAATATTATATATCGCGGGATGTGCTTACCGAAATAATAGCATACAACGTTGATAAATTCATGAAATGATTTTTATCGAGAAGCAATGAGTAAGTGAGAAATAGTAGGAAAATTTAATCTTTCTTTTTAAGATATCTTGAATTTCTATTATCTTATTCGATATATCTAGTTTATTGGCTAGAAATGATATCTATTCGTTAAAATAGAAAATAATTCTTCTGATATTTCCAACGATATTTTATTTATTTATCGTGGTTTCTCATTTTCTAAAGAATCAATCAAGCTTGGCTAATGTGATGTCGATTTAATCCCAGATGAGAGATCGGATTCAAGTCACCAACATTAGGTTCTATTCTTTAATGTCCGTTCAACGTCCACTACTCTGTTTCGTAATCGACTAAGCATTTCTGGTTTATGGTTCTTCGACTTTAGAAGCTTTTTGCACAGATGAAAGATGTTAAGCTTACTTAACAAGATTGAGTAAGGTATTTCAAACATCTTTTCAATTGAATAACGCTACATTTTACAAAATTATTTCCATTATTTAGCCCGTTTTTAAGACAACTGGCAAAAATATAATAAAAGAATATGTATCGTTTATTGGGAAAATAAATAAACCTTTTTTAATGTTTCGGACTAATTGTAAATCCATTGGGGAAATAAATTTGTAAAATTAGAAAAAATAAAATACGTGACACTCGCAACAAGTTGTATAATGTCGAATCGTAAAAATTTTCTCTCTCAGGGTAAAAATGGAATAATAAAGAAAAGAAAGGTGGATAGACACGAAGAAGATAGTTTCGAATAAAATGCAGCAAAACTATAACGATCCCTGTTGTTCGTGGCCAATAAATCCAGTGTCAAAGAACGTACCTTCCGGAAAGAGTGGTAGGAATCCGCCGTGTGAAATACTGTTGGTAACGCCGAACATCGTGTTAGCGAAAAAAGCTTTCCCGTATTGCATTCGATCGCCGCTACGGATTGCTATCGTTTATTTAGAAAACGCGTGAACGCGAAAGCTGAGCGAACGAAACAGAAAGAGGGAAAAAAAAGCTCGAGTTTTACCCTTCAGAGGTCGAAATAAAATGGTCAATATCATCGTAAGTTGAAGATAAAGACGTAAAAAGGTAGACAGATCGAATGGCGATATACGATATTACGTGATTGTACCTGAATCTCGAAGATCTCGTAGCTACGATGACGATAAATTTCCATTTTTATCGACCTTGAGCTGAAAAGTAAAGTCTCCGCAGTATATACCTATCTATCGAAATATTTTCTTACTATCCGAATTGATGAGTATCGACTATTTTTTCAAATATGCTCGTCGAAAGATTTCCATCTTCCTGTCGTCATACATATTTAATATTTCATAAATATGTTTATATGAAATACGTTTCGTTTGTATTTCTCACTTATCTCGTTCAATCGATTTTACTCCTTTGCCTCTCAATAAATACCATAGTTTAAATTTTCAACATTCGTATGTATGTATATACGTATTAGATAATTTCGAATCATACAAGACTCCTTCGTTTTCGGCATTGTGAAAAGAATAATATTAGATTATGAATCGTTGCAAATTAGTCGAGTTTGTGCTCAAACATTTAACTAAGAGTATATGCTGAATATTTGGGTCTTAAATACAAATAACTAAGAAGAAATTTTATGTTATTGGATTGAAATCTAATAATTAATCCGAAAGATCTAATTATTCGCGAATGCTGTACTTCCAAACCGTATCGCATAACGTATGGACAATATTATACATTTGTTATTTAAAAGTAAAGTTCGATAAGTTAGTGGATCGATCGATTATTTTTTCCTTAAGGTTCTGAAAATAAACGATTAACGTAAATAAATTAATATAATAAACGCGAAAAAGGCCAATGACAATTAATTTAAAAATTATCTTTTTATATTTGTTACACTTTAACGAGTTCGTTACATATCCGAAAAGATTGTTTTCCTCGATTATTTTTCATTCGGCCTTTATACGGAAACATATAAAAAAAATATAAACGAATAATAAAGGATAAAGGAACGAAACAGAATGAAGGATAATAGAAAATTATGTAATTAGATTCAATCGATAAATACAGGTGCCAACTCTCAACTCTCTTCCCGTCTATCTCTTTTTGCAAAGAAAAAAAAGAAAAAAAGAAAGAAAGAAAGAAAAAACAACAAGATAACAAAAGGAAAGTTCGCTAAAGTAAAATAGAAAGAGAGGAAAGGCGTAGTAGTAGTAGTATGGATGCGCAAAGGAAAGAACTTCGTCTCGCGATATTTTCAGCGGCCTAGAGAGAGCAAACAGAGAAAAAGAGAAATAACTAGAAGGAAAAAACGAAGAGAGAGAAAGAGAAAGAGAGTGAGAGAAAGAAAGAAAGAATCGCGAGCCGTTTGTTCGTTTTTTAAAAGAGAAACCGGCTGAGCCTGCAATCTATAATGTACATATATACACAGAGTCGCGAGTGAATTGTCATTGAACATTGTTTATATGTAAATACAAGAAACGATGAAATAAAAGAGGAAAGAACAAAGAGTGAAAATATAAGGGAAAAGAGAGGAGGAAAAAGAAACAGAAAGGAAGAAAAAAAGAGACAGAGAGAGAGAGAGAGAGAGAGAGAGAGAGAGAGAGAGAGAGAGAGAGAGAGAGAGAGAGAGAGAGAGAGAAAAAGAAAGAAAGAGAGAGAGAGTGTAAAAGAAAGGATCTCATATACGGCCAGCACGGTCTCGCGAGTATATTTTTGTAGTTTTGTATTTTGACGTGTTCTCGGAGTGAGATCCTCGTGCTTGCTCGGCACCGAGTGACGATAGGAAGAGAACGTTTGCGGGGAGGCCGACAACGTCGACAATGACCGTAATAGCATGTTCCGCGTCGTTTCGTCGATCGACCGGTATTTCGCGTATGCACGAATTACGAATTATCTTCATTGATGTATATACGCGTATATATATACATATGCGCTTCACGTATGTATGTGTACGCAGTAAATGCACATATAGGTATATCTCTCTACATGTATCATCTCGTACATGCAAAGAGACATACGTATATATGTATGTATGTATATACGTATGTACATACATTCACATAGCCTGCTATACGAAGCGTTAGAACGATATATCTCGCCATCCAACTAGCACACGTGTCTCGAATCATGAACAACTCACTTTACTTACGCGTTGCCATTAGTAAGTGGCTAAATTACTCTGCCCGTCGATATCGATGCCGAAATTTCCTATCCGTCTGTTGTCTGTCTGTCAGTCTGTCTGCCTACCTGTCTGCCTGCATGCCTGCATGTCTACCTACTTACTTACTTACTTGCCTATTTGCATMCCTGCCATATCCTGTTCCGGACATTTCATCTTCGCGATATTTCGGCTAACGAGATAGAAAAAGAGATAAAGGGAAAAGATGAGAAAGAGAAAGAGGATGGGAAATCGAAAGAATAGAAACGAGTTGGACGATTCTTGAGTGACGGTAAATGACGGTACTTACAAGGGATAAATATAATACCTGCTTTACAAGAGTATCGTTAAAAGAATAGGATTCTTTTTAGTGTATTCTTAAGTCTTTAGTATTATACTTTACAAAGCATGAAATTGTTCTCTTTGATTTTAAATCTTGAATAAGTCGGTTTTATGAAAGTCGTATTTCTCTATTTGACGATCGATTACTTTCCAATACTTATAAAGTTAGTCATTATCTTTGATATCGTTGAAACTTTATTGAAAACTTCTACGTTGTCTGTTTAATTGCTAGAGATGTCTATTCCCACGGTGTTAATTCAACGATAGATGACCTAATAGCATGGCGGGAAGGGAGCCTCGTAGCATACACGCATACAACTTTCTCATCTGATGATCTCAAAACGTAATAACATACATTTCCTTGTCGTTTATCCGTTGTATGTCTGTTTGTGACGCGTGTAATCGAGCGTGTATGCGACAAAGAGACGCTTGTACACGCAGCTACAATTATTATCGTGAGATATCTTGTTGTAGCAAGCTACCGTGGCATAAAGAGACTCCTTCACACTTTAACCGAACCCTCTTTCAACGACACAATTTACAAACGGACCCTTTTCGACTTCAAATCGACATCCTTCATTTTTCTTTCCCATCCAATATCGTCCGTTCTTCACGAACGATCTCCTTCTTTTCTCAATCTTATCCGCAATTTATTCACCTTAAATCGACACCTAAAAATCCCTTTCGTTGGGTATTTGTTACTTGACAAAGTGATTCAGGATTGTAAATTCTATTCCAAAACAAGAGATGACAAAAAAGTTTTTTATTATGGGAGCGATCGATCGTTTTTTAAAAAGTATAATAACATTGCGATCAATATTTTTGCATTGCTAATTAAGTCTCGAAAATATTTACAAACATGACGGGTTATTAACTAATATAACATTCCTGTATCTTTTTTACGATTAATATTATTTTTATGTATAATCGATTTATTAATGCATTTTTTTAATTTAAATGATTTACCAAGTTAATTTTCTTTTTCTTTTTTTTTCTCACTCAGCATATTAAGAAAACTCCATCATAATATAATTATGCTTTATGTACCAACATAGTTAAGAACTCTTGCTATTTATTGAAATTATAAATTGTGCATGTCAGATACACCGGGTTAACAATTTGTTATCGATAGACGCTATGAGATTTAACTGAGTGTTTTTACAAAACACACAGTCCGAATTACCGTCCGCAATAACCGATCCAACTCGATATTTAGAAATATTTAATATTTAATTAATAATACAGGAGAAAAATCGTTTCCTTTTTTTCGCTAAACACAAAATATTTTTTTTCATAAATAAAACCCCCCTGGTTTTTAATATAACAAAAAAGATTCTCAATTAAGAAGATTTTTTTGTGTTGATTATTATAAAGTAAAGAATTTATTCGTTCTTAACATTAGAGAGACGGTTTACGTAACTATTTTTAAAGAATTTCAACGCAATGAAATTTCAATTGTCCTAATATGACTGAAACTTCGAAATATGCGTTAATTGGCCAATCAAGGACAATCTTACAATTAGTATTGAAAGCTATTATATGCTAAAGTATACTATAATATACTTCCATAATCAAAAGTCGATCCACGTTTTCCTCCTTTATTTTAATATTGAAATGATTTCATAATAATCATCGTTATATCGATTTTCTGCTCTGTAAAGACCAATGTTCCTTCACTAAATATATATTTAAAAGTTAAAATATTATTTCTCTTGTATTTTCAATAAAATAGAAAGGAATTGCGTTGATTGCGTTATAAGAAAAGTTCGTTGAAAATATTTAATTATAGTTATTTAGGATGACAACTTTATCATTTCGATAAAGCAAACGTATCTGCCTATATATATATATAGACTTAATGATAAAATCTAAAAAAAAAAAGAGATTGAGAAGAATTCTTAATAACTTATAATAATGGAAGGAACATATGGACGTAAAATAAAATTGTAATAGAGTGAGTGCGTGCGTCCGTGCGAGCGAGCGAGCGAGCGTGCGAGAGACAGAGAATAGAGACTCTTAGTGTCTTTTCGCCAATACACATGCATACACACACACACACACACATCACGTGGATATAAGGAAGAAAAAAAAAATGCTAATTTTACGATGAAACGTTGTGTACAATATTAGTTTTAATCGTATATAATACTTCGTAGAGCGCGTAGTTTTCTAAGTGTCTGCTCGCTGAACGATTACGTAAATCGTGTGTCCTAATTGTCGTCGTTGAAAAATTGCCTAACCGATTTTATTGTTGCGCTTAGAAAACGAAGTAAAGAAAATAAAGGAAATAAAAAAATAACAACGTAACTTAAACCGTGAAAAATGAAAAGAACCAATGTTAAGGAAAATAAAAAGAAAAAAAAGAAATAATAAAGAATTTTACGTACGCGTCAGGGCGTAGAAAAATATTGTTGTAACAGTGTCTCGTCGAATATACGAATGTGTGTTCCGAATTAATCGTTGTGTTAGTTGCGGAAAAGGTTAGTAGTGCATCATGTCGAAAGAGCGATACGAATTGATTCGTCGTTTGTATGGATCAGTTGTATCTAAATGAGTTTGTCTCAATTGATTAATAATAATAATAATAATTATATATATATATATATATATATATATATATACACTATATTATTATGTATTATATGTATAATATATAATAATATATATATATTATTATTTATTATTATTAATTATTACGAGGTCATGTGCGCGAATGGGTAACTACTCGTTAAAGGATATTTTCGTATCTCGTACGGTCTCTTGTTGCGGTAATGTACAGGATAAAAACACTTTATACATGCTTTTATCGAAGCGTAAAGTCAGAATGTGTGTGCGATTAATATAAATGTAAATGATTTATATTTACGTTTCACGGTGTAGATAAGGATCTTTGAAAGGAAATGTAATATTGGTATTTACTTTTCCGCCATATTTAAACGTGAATTTAGGAAAGAAAATATATAAGAAGAAGAATAAGAAGAAGAAATGGAAACCGATTTTAGCTGATAAATTTCGGTAACAATTCTTATAACTGTTAATATCGAGAGATATCTTTTATGTCAATTTTTTAGTAATATTACTATTATTATTAATACTTACCTTTATTATTTTATATAATACGTCATCGTGTTCATCGCCATCATCATCATTGTCGTCATTGATGTCTCTCTCATTATGATTCAAACGTTTTTACGTTACATTATTACTACGTCATTTTTTTCACATTTATTTATACAAATGTTTATACTATATATTATCATTTGATAAAAGATCTTGTTTTTGTAAGAGAATACGACGTCGAATTGTGTAAAGTTCGGTATTTAATTTTTAAGTCAAATATAATTTTAGTTAATATAAGGAAGGCGCTGTATATATTATACATATTTTATAAATAAAATATTTAGTGTAACTGTAATATTACGATATTGTACTGAATGCACTGCTCTGTACACACCACTACATAGATTAAATTTTAATAAATATTTCCCAACCCTATATATATAAAAGTCGACCTTAAAACGATTGATTTTTTTAACATTCTCTTCTAACCTTTCAATAATAATTCAGGAAAAAATAGAAAATCGTTTATATTAACTTATAGAATGTACATATGTATATATATATATATATATATATATATTTTCTCGATTAAGAAAATAATATTTCTCGCGTTCTACGCACGTCGTTTGAAAAAATAACATTTACATGTAACACGCTTCAATGAGATTTATTAGCAGGTCCCACGATTTTTTCATCTTTGGTTATAATTCGATTGAGTTTCGAGAGCGCATTAGTGCCATACTTCCTTATTAATTCGTCAACAAAATTGTCTTTTAATTTTTTTAAACACCTGAAAAGCAAATACTGTCATACTATATAATTATTTATTAAGTATATTTCTAATTCCAGGACATTTTAATAAAATATCATGGTCCCAACGTAATTTACGATACCTATTAAAGATAAGTATTTAAATATTATTGAAATCATAAAGTTTCTGAGATTTAAAAAATCGTAACAATCGTATTTAAAAAGTAATATAATTAAATTTATATATCACCTTCTATAAATTGAATCAGTTCTAAATTTTCCAATGTCTAGACTTGGAGCATGTGGTCGATGAATAATGAAGCTGTCCGGAAGAACTATAAACCTATAGAAAATGTCGATTTTTATTACATATTCCTTATTATACTTAAAGTGTAAGAAATGTTATAAATTACACAACGTATAGATCTCGAAAAGTTGCAGCGTGAAGTTACACAATGGTTAAATATATTCTCTAATTAAAAACAATTATATATCTTACTTAAAATCGAGTGCTGTAAGATGAGTGATGTAAGAAACTTTGTTCCATCCAAATCCAATAAATCGCGTATCGTATTTCGGTGCAATTTTGGGGACTATAATGTAAGGCTCAAAATCAGGTTCCCAAGAAACCTAAAATAATATTTAATAAAGATCATAATTTCTAGGTAAATTTTATTTAACTTACTTCATAAGGTTCAGTTGCATTTTTCCATGAACTATAATTCGTTGCTGCATGTCCTTGAGTCCAAACGTGATAACGAAACGTATAAAGAATACCACGTCTAAGAAATTTTAGAAGCTCTTCCTTATCAGCAGGAAATTTAAACCTAAAACGTAAGTAAAAGCGGTAGCTTATTGAGTTTACCGGTTGATATTAATTCGACGCAAAAATTACCTATATCGTTCGGTTTCGAAAGCCGGTACGATTAAGGCTAAATTATGTATTCGCTTTTGTATGGTCAATTCCTTGATATGCTTCATAATATTTTCATAAAGGCCGTATTGTGGTAAAAAATCAACGTCAAGTTGGAATATATAAGGCGTTGATACATATGACATAGCTATGTTTCTTAAATAATTAATTGGATAAAGTTCCTAAATGTAAACACATATTTAACATGATTTCTTTTTTAGCACTGAATATTAATTATTGAAATAATAAGAAAGATCGGCAGTTAAATAAAATTAAAAAGTAAATAAATATTATTAATAATATCTATACCCCTTCTTTATAGACAACGTGATAAGCAATATTTTTCCTTTTTCGTAATTCCGATGATCCTCGTATATATCCCAAAAAATTTTGTACTTCAGCATCGGTAAGATAAAGTGCTACACTTATAGTTCCCGGCCAATGTTTCGAAAGTTCTTCTAAAAGAGGCACTCGTTCTATACTGCATTGAGTGGCTAATACAACATCAGTAGGCATAAATATATTATATTCATATTCAAGAATAAAATAATGTGTTCTGTACATCATCCTAGCACCTTTGGTAAATTCTCGACAAGAATCTAATTCATCATACTGAAAAATAATTGATCGTAAGAATGATAAAAATGTTTATTGAATTCCAACTTTCATTAAACTTTCCTAAACATATAAAAACAACTAACTATTAAAACATTTTTACGATTATCACAACCGAATAAACGTTTTCGTAAAAGATTCCCATCCATCTCTAAGAACATTCTATGCCATTTAAGGAATTCATCTGCGTACTTGTTATTTACATCCTGTTTCCGAGGTGAATTCCAATGAATTATCTGAAAAGACAGATATCGATGAAGTTATACTAGATCATGTGGAATAAATATCGCAGCAACGTACATTCAAACGATTTCCTCTTTGATAGCAAGATTCACTAGTAGCATGATCACTTAGTTGAACATTCCAGGTACAATCTATCCTAGCTACAATTTCCGGATGTTCTTTAATAACGGCATTTATTATATCTTGATCAGCCAAAGTGGTCTCCTGTATAGAACCCAAGACCCTCTTCGTGGTGGTCACCCACAAGTCTCTAAACTTACTAATGCGCAATCGGTGTAAGTGCATCAGCATGACGCCGGTATTGAAGCCTTTACCTAACGCTGGCCAAGGTTGTTGACCATATGAAAAGGACTTTAGATACCACCGACTTTGATTTTCTGCTAAGCCTAACGTTTGATTAGGATTAAATTTCTCGAACATTTTCCAAAGGATAGTAACATCGTTTAAAATGGTCACGTCAGTATCTAGAACGAGAATCTTACTTTCACCCATAGCCTCAGGTAATATTAATTTTAATAGGCCGTAAACTCCAGAATAATGTCTGTTCGGTATCCATGATACCTTCGGCACCCATTTTTCGGCACGATAATATGATACTTGGACTGCAATCGTTAAGTAAATCGCTATTAGATTTTCATTTAATAAGTTCACCGCTTTTATGATCGTTAGGGTCGCTACTCATGGCTCAGACTATAATCGAATAGATCATTTTAGAAATTATTCTTCCTTCGTCAATTTTCAATCTTCTAATATCTAATTTTTCTTTTTTATTTCGATCTAATACAAAAATTATATATAGATGCAAAAAATACATAAAACGCATAAACGATCTAATCATGAGTACAGCCTTAACCTTAATTCATGTTAAAATTTCGTTTTTTGCAATAATTAACCTTATACTGACCACTTGGTAAGTCCCATGTTTTAAATAATGTAATGAGAGTTCTTTTTGCTATTTCATCTACGATCAAGTGGAAGTGCAATGGTTTCGTACGATGATATAAAATCGACTTTACTACCGTTACCAATGAAAAGGTTGAATTATATCCGGCACATACCATGGCAATTTGTACGTACTCACACTTGACCTTAAAAGTAACTCCATTTAATTCATACTACTCAAATTTGTTGCAAATTTTTTATTTTCATGACCCTTCGCACTCGCTTTGAATTATTTCATTTATAAATATCTTCACTTCCACAATTTTGAAATTTAATCGAACTTCTAACATACTGTTATACTTACAATATATATTATTTGAATAATTAACTAAGAAAAATACGATAAATATAAATATTAAGTGAAAATTTCGTACCACGATTCTTATCAATGATAAATTTCGTGTTTGATGTGAAATGATTTAAAATTGATATTTGCTAATTGCAAGTCATATTTCTGTCGATACTTTTCGAGTGCAATGGGTTTCATATTTAACGAATTTACCTCTGACCGATTATTTGATAATTGCTTGTTCACGGACAGTTTTTGTAAATTATTCTTTAATACATCGATCGCGATTGATGGAATATTTTCTGGCTTTTCTGGAGTGCCCATCTCCATAGAAGGAACTGTAAAATTATAATTAAATATCCATATGTATCCTAAGATATAAATGCAATATAATAATAAGTAAGAAATCGTGATATGTATTACCATTAAAAAACAAATATAGGTAGAAAAATACTAATGTTATTAGAACGCTAAATAAACATCCTAACCATGGTCGAACCATTGTAGTATGCCAAACATATTTAATGATACGTCCTATGGTGCTGAGTAATTTAATTTTAGAAGAATTCTTTTGATATCTGTAGAGGAAAAAACAATCTTTCATACACAATTGGAAAAATTAATAATTTATATTGAAAAATCTAATGAATTAGTTATACAATCTAACTAATATAAAAAGTAATATTTTAACACATTCATACGAAATTGCTTCCTTTTCTTATAATTGTTCATAGGTAAAATTTGTAAAAACTTCATAAATAAATATAAATAAACAACTATATTATATTAAAATAAAATTAAATATAAATTTTACTAAATTTTTATATATGTATACATATATAAATATACATCAACGATACTGAATTTATATTTGTCGCCTACACATGTTCGTAAAACGTTTGTTTGATCTATATATAGTACTGACTAGTTCACACAAAGCTCGGCGGGATGTGTAGCTTTGACAGCAGACAGACTGTATGACACTGCTCGACATGCGCGAGACAAACAATAACAATTTTAACAATACAAAGTTGAACTGGCACCAATTATCGATAGTAATATAATATTGTACATACCTGTCTCTGTTACGATGGCTCAGTAATTCGTTGTCATCCAAATTATCTCATAAATTCAATTAATTTTTGTAATAAAAGTAACGACGTTTTATTCAAAAATTGTCGGCACGCAAAATATTATAATAACATTCATAATTCGTTACTGGCCACCACAAGCGTCACATTTATATTTTAACAGCTGTAACACGGTTCGTATGAACAATGTGTGTCACAAATGAAATAAATTGTCGTAATTACTCGTAACAATGAACAACCGTGAAATAACGTGCATCCTAAACAGCTCGAGAGTGAGAGAGAGCAGGAAGCCCGACGTAAATAATTTAATCACTGACTACCGGAATGGTAGATCGGGCACCGCATTTAAGATATGTTTGAACGCGACTACTAACTCGGTCGATAATTCTACTTTCATCTCTGTTGCATTACGTTGCCGCTAGGAGGTGAAAATTATTATTTCGCTGATAAAACAAAGCAACGATGATTACTTCCAAATTGATATGCAAAAATATATTATTTTTTCATATACTTCTTGTTGTTTACACATTTTATTTATTAATAACAACTTATGATTTAAAATATTGTCATATCATTTATAATATTACATTTTTGGATTATAAATTAAAAAATCTATTTAAATATGTATTTATATCTAATTCTCTAAACTCATAGATCTGTTGCATTAAAAAACAAACAAGTAAAAAAGAATATTATGATCGGTGATTATTATTAAATCATGTTTTAAATTTTAAAAATATATAAGTCTTTTACGAAATAATTATAAGTTAAAATTGTATTACCGTAATTGTAATGATAAGTGGTAACGCTAATTTCGTTTAAAATGTTGATTAGCTATAAATTGAATGAATTATTGTTAAGAATGATTGAGCGAATGATATGATACGCGTTCGAAAGACGTGTTGAGTTGATGCAATGATATAAGATATTGAAAACTACTCATTTTAATTAATTTCAGTAGCTTTGCCCGCATATGTACTTGAATCATCGTCTTCTTCAATTTTTCTGAGTCGTTGAAGTTCTAAATTACGTGCTCTGAAAAATCCGTTAACGTAGTATGACGATAACTTTTTAAGTTGGATTACATAGATTTAAAAAATATATTAAGTACCTTGAAAGTGATTCATCTTGCTCTCGCTCATTTCGGCGTTGTTTAAGAGCTCTTGATGCGATACAAACTATTATGAGTATAATAGGAACTATACTAGCAAGTACTATACCAGTTGTAATACCAGCTTGTCGGGAACTGTATTCCTGTTGACCTATGTGATTAAAAACGAAAAAAAAGAAAAAGTAAAATGTAATTCGTATTACTTTTCGTGACGGATCAATTTCAAATAGAAGTTAAATTTGACGAAAAGACCTGAAATAATAAAGTTAAAGAGAAATAACAGGATTGAGGATAAAAGAAAATTTACAATGGCTTTGGTGGAAACTTCCATTCCACTTGGAATTGTTTGTGAATAACTTTAACGTACTGTTCTATATTGATAATCTGTAAATGCATGTGGAATAGAAATTTCCTGATTGTATAAAGGTCTATAAAAAATTTATTGTGATATATTTGATACACCATCTAGAAGAGCTCACATCGTTTTTTACAATTGCTCAGTTAAATAATAAAATATTTGACGCGTGTCATTTTATTGGTAAATCATGTAAATTGTAATCATATAACGCACGTGATTAAATTTTGCGCAAATATGGTACAGTATACCTTTTGCATTTCTATTCCACAGCACATACAAAATTATTACTTTTCTAATTATTTCTAATGTGTAAAAGAAGAAAAAAAATGTTAAGATATATATAATATAGATCTAGTAACGCGATGAAATTGGTTATAATCTCGAAGAGCTATGGAAACAAGATGAGCAAAAAGAATATCATGAAATGGAAACGCTTTGAAATATTAAACGCGAATGTTACTTTCAGTTCTTACAATGAAATATTCCGTTAATATAAATGTTAATTATTTTTCTCATTCTTGTCAATTTACTCTCTACTTTAATGGATACGAATGATTTAGAAAATTTTACACATCGCTTTCTCTCGTAAGACTTCCAGTCTTTTGAATCGAATCTACGGTCGAGTCAGATTCGGTCGGTGAGACGGGTTCTTTGAGATCCCAATCTTTGTCCTCAAAATCGATGTTAGGTCTGTCTGGTAAAGGTTCATTCGTACGATAAACTTTGTCATAAGAACGTCGCTTCTTTGTACCACCTAATGAGCTGAGACTACTATCGCTAACAGGTGAAACTGCTCTATCGTCCATCTTTAAAGGAACTGTTTGTTTCATCAACATAGAATCGTTATCTATACCCGAGCTGCGTTCGGAATAACGCCAAGATTTAGTAGAATCTCCATTAGATCGATTTTTTCTCATATAAACAAAAGCAAGAACGATACATATTGTAGCAGGGATTAACATTGCCGCTACAATGCCGAAGGTTGTCCATGCGGTACGTTGAGCATATTCGACTTGACCTACGTATTTTATTTAAATATTAACAAATTTGTATTAACATGTGTAATTACTTTATCGCAGAACAACAGTATTATTTATATCCATATTGAAACTTCTCAATCGTCTACTTTCTTTAAATTTCAAATGGATTTAGAATATTAAAGAGATTCAAATATTAGAGATCAAAAACGTAAAAAGAAATTGATAAAAAGCAAAATACTTACGAAGGCATTCAGTGTATCCATACTCGGGAATGTTCCATCGTCCCTCCGGTGTACATTCTCGACGTTGATCTCCAACAAGTATAAAATCTTGGTTACACTCGAAGCTTACTTTGGCACCGGGTATAAAGAGAAAATTGGTTTTTCGACCGAAACGCGGTGTTTCCAATATACCACAAGATATAGCTAAAGAATAAAACTGCTGTAAAGATCTTTAACCAAATTCACCAGAATATAATTTTCCTACATTTTTACTTACTTCTCTTATCGTTTATTGCCTTTATTTGCGTGTAAGTATCGTAATAATTTCTTGTGAAATGTGCAAAATCCCGATTAAGGGTCATTGCGTAATCGTACTTGCATTGATACGAGTCTCCACACAAAGCGTTAGCTCGCACTCGATCTTCCGTTCTGAGAAAATATATATCAAAATTTGTTATTTGTCTTACAATTAATGTTTTTTTTCTAACCTAATTCGGAAATACACTCTATCATTATGTTTCAATTTAAATGCAATTTTGAAAAAGTGCCTCACCTATTGGATGGTATTATTTCTTCAGGCGTTCGACGAAATTCCGGTTGAAATCTTCGATTAGCGAAAAAGGAGGCAGTTCTACCGAACTTCCTTGTAAACAAAGCAGCCCCTTTACTCTCCACATCCTTATCCTCCAATAGCCAATTCATTGCGAAATTCTTATGAACGTCTTCAAAGTTGTTTAAATTGCCGACGGATGCCATTTGACCGTCCGGGTTGGTGAAATCATCGGTAATATCGTGACTCCAATTTCCGAACAATCCCCTGGTTTTATTCTATAATCCATTCATTGTATTTCATCATCCAATACCCAAAACGTAGTAAAAAAGAAAGCTAATAAAAATTTTAAATTTCAATTACCATGTATGACCATGGAAGATAAACTCTAGCTGACATGAAGCCTTCATTTTCTATAACTTCAACACCAGCACCGGTATCCATCATAATGATAACTTCGCTTTGATTTAAAATGTATGTTGGAGTATAGACAACTACACCGGGAAAATGTTGAAACTTTAAGGAAGGTCTGTCGAAATAAACGCGTTCTTTATCGGCAAAAACGTCTAGGCGGTATCTCCATTGCGAGTGTTTTTGTCGTAATCGTACCTCAATAATAGCGGAATTATTTCCCCTCACTCGTGTAAACATAGGAAAAAGATAATGTTAAATTGTATGCACGAGTAAATAATGCTTGTTATTAAATTTATAAAGATAATTCCAAGATATAAATAATAATTTGTAATACAATATATATAGAATAAAAATAGATCAAAATTATGCCTGTTTTGAAGAGCTTGATATTTGAAAAATAAAATAATTACCTGCAATCGATGTCAATTTAGTGGCATTGACAGGTCCATAAAAATTTCTTTCGACTTGCTCGAACCTAGCCTGAACATCGAGCTTGTCTCTCAAATGATCCACTCGTAGTAATACAAATTCTCCCATTCCATTAAACGTGTATTCCAAGCCATCAAACGTAACAACGTGTGGATCACCAAATACCGTTGCAATAGCCGGAGACTGATAAGCGATGCAGTCCTGCGAAGGACGTCTCTCAAATCTGAACGTTTCACATCCGACTGCCTGTTCCTCTTGCCACAGACAACACAAGTACATAGGAACCATGTCGTGATACCATTGCGAGAGAGTTGGTACTTTATTAGCTTCATTCCATGGGAAATAGCCTAAATTATGCGAACGACGTGGTCGCGAGCCCCATTGCTGATCGTATGTAAGCATCAAAAAACCATTTTTATCGTAGCAGCATTGTTGTTCCGAACCATACAAACTAAAAAATAAAATATACGAATCTTAACATTTTATGAAATTTTTTACTCTATAATTTTTTTATTATTGCATAATTACATATTTAACAAAATTCTGTTATATTTTTTCATATTATCCCGATAAGAATTATAGAAATTCAATAACAATGTTACTCACTTTGGTGCACCAGTCCTCACGCAATGAGTCGCATGATGATTGTAATAGCAATCGGGATTTGAGTCCTTATCGCAGTCGAAGTCTGGCATAAATCGTCCTTTATCGTACAAAGCATGTTCCAGAGTGCAAGGACATAATGTAATTTCAGCAGCAAAATTTTTCAAGTATCTGTCATTCATAATCCATCTATCACACATTCTTTGTGACCAACGAGACCCATATAATCTTTCCCATTGTGGGCCAAAGTACCAAGCAAGTGGAATCGGTTTACTCCATAAAACTCTAAAAGAATTACATCGATCGAGTTTTAACAAATGTTTTTATCAGACTTTTCATTTTTTACTTACGGCGAAAGATTAATTCCAGAATATTGAGCCGGATCTGTTAGATTAATCTTTATAAATCCGAACACAATATCTTGTACATCAGGATTGTACATATCACGATAATTCGCTGGTCTAATTGTATAACTGCCTGTATTAGTATGCGATATCTGAAATTTCAGTTAAAGATTAAAGATTTTTCAAATTTATCCAAACATATCGTGAAATTGAAAGATAAACACCTCAAGATCAGTAATGAATTTTAACTCGGGAGTAGTCTTTGTTTCTCTGTAACCCCATAACGATATTTGAACACCGGCATTTAAGTTGCTCGTTAAATTGTATTGATTCCATGTAATCTTTATTTCCGCTGGATCGAGTTCATGAACAGCCGTATTGGAGAAAGAAATTTTTTCGGCAGCAGTAGCAGGTGTTTCTGTATTATAAAATGTTAAAAATGTACCAAAATGAAGAAAAGACGATTAATTATCCAATGACGAATCGTCTTACCAATGAAATATTTTCCCTTCCAATTAAATTTTCCGCTATTCCCAATGGCTACTTCCAACCGAACGTAACCTTCGGCTTGTACGAATGGTTGAACGCAAATAGCACGATTTCTGTCTACGACATGACCGATCACCGTGACCGTATCGAACAGACACCTGATTTTCTCGGTCTCATTGAAACAAGGTCCGGTGATATTGACTACTGTACCACCCAACATGTTTCCGCTTTCAGGAGCGAATACAAGAGGCAAATGAGTACCGGCTATACGAAAGAATAAATGATATAAATAAAGAATTTCGATAAGAAGAAATAGCTTTTTTATTTACCATTAAACCTTACCTATATCCTTGTTACAAGTACCTAGCATTATTTTCTCATCTATTCTAAAAATGTGACGGCCTGGAAAACCATTGGCCCATCCTCTACCCGTTAAATCTCGCACAGTAGACGTTTGTGAATAAGGTTTATATTCGTAACTTTGTGTACCATTACCGGCATTAAATCCAATCTAATTAAAAAAAAAAAACAAAAAAAAAATAATATTGAAACTTCTACTCACAAAAGAAGATTTACGTATTAATTTTTTATTGCTTACAAATGCAGGTACTCCACCCTCTCCACCAGAACTGTCACCACCAGCTGATGTGTGTGCAGACCATTGAATATCTAGATAATTGAATATTGCGTATGTGAACACTTCATCCGTAGCTAGAACCATTTGAAACGTATTCGTTTTATAGAGAGCATTATCGAGGCCACCGACAAAGGAAATATTCTTCCAAGTGACAATAATGGCATGCTTTGGGTCAAATGAATCAGAACCCACGACACCTTGACGAATATCCCATTTGACTCGTTCTCTCATTTCTACGCCAAATTGATCCGTTCTTTTCTGTAGATCTCTTTCGAGTCTAAAACCAAATCGATCTCGATAAAGATAGTTGAGGATTTATAATTTGACGATTTTTCTTATATAAAAAAATGATATCGTTTATTTTACCGAAAATAGACACCAGGTCTTCTTTTGTCGTTGTCTGTTGGCCTAAGTTTTCCTATACGACAAAGACTGAAAAATATCCCAATAAAACTGGGATCATTTCTTTCGGGCCAATCTTTGATTGGAAAGACCAAAGGATATGTGTAATGATCTGGAGGATCGCTAAACTCTAAAAAACCATTGACGGTTACCTAAGATATAAGAATTATGCCAGTTATCGATATTTTCTTATCGCAAAAAATTTTTATATCGAAAAAAAGAGAATTAGAATCGCACCCTAGTGTAATTGAATCGAAATCCGAAAAAAGGTAATTGAAAATTAAAATTCTTGTGAATGATCGCTGTGGATGCGTGAATATCTGTTTGATAATCTCCATTATCGTTGTCACCTCCTTTGTCAAAATACCAATACATGAATTCTGATCGAATTTGTTTCAATCTCGCTTCAGTGAGGATGTAATCGGGAACTGAGTCATCAGGTCGAGGTGCATACCTATTGGCATCCGGCAGATCTGAGTCTGCAATCACACGTTAATGACACGTTGCAAGATGATACTGTTACAAATCTTACTCAGTATCCGTTTTAGACAAATAATTCCATATTTTATTTGTTAAAATATTTTTATTTTTATTCGTAGATATATTAAAGATAAAATTATAATAACGCAAACATTTTAACCAGACTTAGTACAAAGAAACCAATCCATTTACTTCATATCGTACTAGAAAAAATATCAAATATTGTACCATCGAAGAATCAATAAACATGATGAAAGATTGCATGTTTTAAAGCATGTTTTATCTCGTATTATTGACTGCCGTTCGATTTTATCAATCGAACAAAATAATGTTTCTTCAACGAGAAGTGATATTTTACCATAATAAATCTTGAAAATGTTTCTTGAAGCATACTTCTATACTTACGAAACGCTTAGAACAACGACTCGAATGAATCACCCTTCGATTCACGTTAAAATGAGTAACTGATAAGGGATACGATAAGCTACGATATGACTGTCTTACCTTTTCAGCAAATAACACGAGCTACTACGCGATCAGTCACGGCGTGTTTTTATAGGTCATTATGAATTGTTATTGAAGGAAAAAAGTAACTTTTTTAAAGGAAAATGTAAAGATTGTAAAGGAACTGAAAGTACAAAAAAAACAATGAAGGATTATTTGATGAGTTCGCAACGTTTAGTGTCTCCATTTTTTTTAGATTATTTCAAGAGAAGGGTCACGCCCATCGATAATAAATTACTCACCATACCGCACATATTTGCTGATTCTTTCACCACCTACCCTACCAGAAATACCCATCGAATTTGACACGACTTCCTTTTTCGAATCCTCGAAAACGAAAGGATCATGTTTGAAAAGTTCGGTGTCGGGCTTTTCCTCAATTGTTTCGATTTCATTTTTATTGCTTTCCGCAAAATCCTCCAATTCCGAAAGAACCGATTTCTTCTTTTCAGCTGCAGCTATGTAATTTTTGTTCTCCGTTGATTCCGGGGCGTTCAATCCGAAAGCACTTTCGAAAGTTTCATTTTCCGTTTGAGCATTGATCCCACTTAACAATATCGCAGAAACATAGAGAAGCATCGTTGTCATTGATAATTTGCATGGGTGAAAAACACCCTGAATCCGCGACGCTCGAGCCTGCATTTTTCGGCGAGCGCAACTTAAACGAACAAAATAGTCTACTAAACGAAACGATACTGAAATGAGATTCGGGTAACGAGTTGTGATAACGTTCCTGATATCATCGACTCTTCTATGATAACGGACAGTTATCTTACTACGAGCAGGTACATTAAACGTATCGCTTAAACTGAGAAAAAGGAAGGGATCGGTATGTCCTACTTATTGTTGAAAGTGAAAATTATCAGATCTTTTCTTTTTAATTGGTTATTTGATGATATTTCATTTGATGATAATCTAAAAACGATTAATAAAATCTTGAACAATATATTTCAAAAATAATTAATAAATTGGAAAATTCTTGTTGATTTGGAAAAATAATTATACTACATATATCTTCGATACATTGTAGTTCTACACACACACAATCTTCTAATCATAGTAATTTTTTTCTCTTATCTCTTAGCATTACATATACACATATCTATGTTTAAATCATGATAAATTAATGGACATAGCAGTAAATTATCAGACGTGGAATTTATTTAAATGCCTGAAATTGTATAATAATATTTACAAAAAGAAAAATCTTTATGTACGATCGATTTGGAAAAGTACCAAAGTTTTGTTTTATTCTTTGCAGGTAACGAGTTTTACAATAAAACGTGTAGTATGTATTGATGAACACATACGTACATAATCGGTAAAGATTCGTCGATCGTTAAGAGTGATTTGTTAATAACATTGTTTATTATCCGAAAAAGTAATGAATACGTAGGTAAACTATAGTCCCTGTAAGTTAATCATAAGTGGTCTCAATACGATCTACAATGAAATCGCGATTTAGTTGATAATTGAATAGAGGAAATGAATTGTATGTTCTTGTATTTATAAAGAATTACTCAGGATAAAAATGTAACGTACTACAAATGCATATTTATATAATAAATACATCTACTGAAAGTAGATCGTTACACCTAAGCACGCTGAAAAGTTGACAAGTAGCGTTATCACTGCCCGACTCTCGAAATATCCTTTCCGCAGTTTACCAAAATAGTCAAGGAATCTATAAAAGTCTTAAAAATAGAAGGAAATGCGAGTCATTTTTGTACTGCAACTGTATCTTCTATATCAATATTCTCACAAATGTTTATAAAGAAGCTATATTACATTTTCTTTTGTGTTGCACGATATGATAAATATTTTTTTCGACCAATTCTATGTATCACAGAATAAAGCTACGAAAATTGCATGAATTAAAGGATACAAAAAAATTCAAAAATTTAAACAAAATGCACCTAGATTTTCGTATTAGTCAATTAATATCTGTAATCTACAATAGTGATCTCTGAATATTATAATGTGGATATGAACTAGATGCCCGATCAGTAAGTGAAAGGATCTTTTGTAATATTTTATTTTTAATGCAATGAAATAATCTGTTGCAATTGCGATGGAGCAAGTTTAACATTACGAAGAGGAAGAATTATCCCCATTACTGTCCATATATCCTCCAGAACCATTTACGACAAATGACGTTCCCAAACCGTATAAATGACCACAATATTTTGCATCGTCGATGTTGTCCTCGAAAAACATCTAAAATTGCCAATAACAAAAAATAAACGTAAAAATGATTTTTCCAAAAAAGAAATTTTCATTCCAATTGAATAATTCTTAAAACAATAATAGTACCTCTCGCATTTTAAAAAAGACCATTCCAGTAAGAAGAGAATCAGATCCAGCTTGATGCTGTGGACCGACTCTTTGTATTTCCAGTTGTTCCGCTACTTCTTGAAGACCACCTTTCAAGTTTTTGCAGGATTTCATTAAGTACTAAATAACAAAATAAATTAATTATTTCTAAGATTCCTAAAATTAACTATTAGACGATATAATTCTACTCACTTTTACATCATATATGGTTGGAAAATATATCCTAAGAAGTTCGAAAAATTCACTTTCCTCCTGCGGCAAGTTTTGATCAGTAAGTAGTTTTAATAGATATCCAAAATCGTAACCAGAATGAAAAGATAGCCATTTAATATCGTCGACAAGGACAATCCCTGATGTCATTAACAGTTCAGCAAAATCTAACGGGTCAATACCCTCTTCTTCGTGTTTTTTAAATTGTATGCCACTATTTTGTAGCATATCTATACTATCTTGTGCATACATGTCTTCCCTGAAAGAAATATACAAATATACAATTATTTAACACTTTCATTTTAATAAAATATTTACAATTGTAAGAAAGTTGCACTCTTACTGTAAATTAAATTTGAAGTTGAACTGCCACGTTGTGTAACTACCACCTGGCGTATTACCCGATTCATCGAGGAACGTGAGACCAAGTTGTATTATTCGCAAAAGGTCTACGTTGCATCGTAGCAATTGGTATTGATAATCGGCACTTGTTCTAAATTCCCCTTTTAAGATATTATACTTTGAGAATATTTTTCGTAAATACAGAATAACAGATCGTTATTAATGATTTAACTGTCTTACCAATAGGCCTTGCTACTACCCCAGGAAATTCTGTGTCCATTGCAATATATTGATATTGCTGCACAACTTGTCGAATTGTGCGAAATTCCTCCTCTAAATTGTGTCCCCAGACATCTCGTATTCCACATTCTTCATTACTGGGCATAGTCGCCCCACCCTTCTGCTGCCCTATAGAGTTAGACACACCTATAAATTTCTTCTAAATAAATAAATAAATAAATAATTTGTTTTTACATTTATATTCATATTGAGTTTTTTTTGTTTTTAATCAAATCAACGTTAATGGTTGACATATAACAAGATTTTGGATACTATAAATTTGATATAGCTCAAGATATTAAATTATTAACTTATCAATAACGTGTAAGGATATTTACAATACTTTCTCAATTGCAAATACCTATATGACCAAGATAAGGTATATTCCTGGTTGGTATTGGTTACGTGTAATTTCCTTTCAGTGTCATTATTGCATATCATTATTTAAAAAAGCCTTGAGTGAGCATTAACTCTTGAAAGTATACTTATAATATTCATTAGTAATATTTAATAAGGACAACATCTATAGGCAACCACAAACCAACCACAAATTATCATCTTTTTCATAGTCATAGTGAAATAAATGTATGTAAAAAATGTTAAGGTGTATGAAGCCTATATAGCATTATATAAAACCAAACTATTTAATACAGACTTATAAATGTGCAAATAGTAACATTGCTTTCTAATATATTTAAGTTATATATTTACTTGAATCTAATCAATATGTTTTTTCTGTTTTTCTTTCCAGATACTAAATAATTTCATATATAACTGCACCTTCTAATGATTGTGCATTCTTCGTCGATTCTTTGTAAAGGCAGACCTTTTTTTGCAGCGATTGATACTGCACATTTGCCAGGAGCTTCATTGATAATACTAATAGTTTACTATATATAAAGAGATTTCTACTTCACACATCTTCTGGAATGATGATTGCAATATCCACTCGATCCCCAAGTGCTTTATTTATATTGCTTCTTCACTCCTGGAATACGTATTCCCAATACTCATTATTTCGAGATTATATAGTTGTTCTTTTATTTCTGGCATTCTCCATTAATTCTATTACTAAATAATTCTAAGTATTCAATTTTCAAGTGCAATACTCCTCAAGGCATTATTCAAAAATACCTTAACTATATATCATATCTAATATTTTAGTATAATATCTAATGTGTAGATGATATGCAAAATTGCTCTTGACATACTAACATATTAGACATAATTTACTATTTATGTTTTACACACCAGTGGCTGAGGGCATAAGGTTAGATATGTTTGTCGTCACCAGATCTACTCTTATCCACAATATCCTCCGTCACGGTCTTTCTTTCTTCATAGTACTGTACAAATAAAGTTATTAGGTATTGATTAGTACAATACCTATAATTAAAAAAATACTCTATATAAAAACACAATTTTCTGACAAGATAGGTTTGACAACACTAGTTCACCAAATTCTCGTATAAATAAAAAAATATTTAAAAATATAATGTAATCAAAAGAAAACAAATATAACGGCATAGAATGATGAAATAATTTCACCATAAAATGGAAATAAATATAATAACAAATTAAAGTCTAAATACATTTATCTATGATAAGTAGGTTATGTGTTGGAAAAGAATCAAGAATAATTATATAAAGTTGAATATGAATCAATCGTAAAATCTATTATACCTCCTCATATGCCCTTTTGATTGCACTATTATATACTAAATAATAAACTGAATGAAGTTTTATAATTGTTTTTAAACCTTTGAATCTTCTGTGACAGCATAAACAGGTTAAGCGAGTTTCTTACAGTTTCCAAACTCAAAGCACATTCCAGTTGTGAATGATAAGCGTGAAGAGGCGTTGTAGTCGCTAGTTACTTATTCATACGAAGAGACACATATCTAGTTATTTTTTGAGAGATCAGAAAAATAGATTCAAAAAATACAGAAATACATAAAAGCTCCCAAGTCCGCTTTTTACGTATCCAAAATCATTTTAGTTAGTACCGGGACCACTGGTAGGCAAGAGTAGGTATTTAACGCTATACGACAAAGAATATTGTATTTTTTGATAGTATTGTATCGTAATCGCGTTAAGTACCTACTCTTGCCTACCAATGGACCCGGTACTAAAAAAAGTGATTTTGGTTACGTAAAAAGTAGATTTGTGAGCATTTATATACTTACAGATTCTTTGATAGAGTATTACTACTTTATCTTAGAATTATCTTATGTTAATAAAGAGAATAATTACTGTATTTTCATCACAGATGTAAGAAATTATTATTGTGTTTAAATTATGCTATAAAAAAAAAACACAAGTATTTATCTATAGTGAAAACATATATATAATAGCTAAAACGCTAAATAGTTTTCCACCATTAGAGATGGTAATATAGGAATCGCTACGACTTTGAAAACATTGGTGCTACCAAACTCTAAAGCTAAGTCACTGTAGAAACGATAGCCAGGAACCTTAACAGCAGAAAAAAATGAATAAGTGCTCTTAATTGCACACTATTTGCTCGACTTTATTATATCAAATATTTTTTATTTATCGTTAATTAGTTGAAAATAATTATTATACTTTGAATAATTATGAAATGGCGACGTCATGAGTGGGAGATATGTTATACACATGCGCAAACGCACTTGGAAAAAAATGAGAGTAAGGTTGGTATACCTGCAGAGGATATATTTAAAGTTGATTTCTAAAGTAACAACCTATAAGGTAGTGAAAAGAAATAAGTTAATCGTTCATAATGTATAAACAATAGGTAAATATTTTCATTTTTTTCTGCTGTTGCGGTTCTATGCCAACTTTTTTGTGGTGAAGTATATAGAAACTCACAAGTCCCCTTTTTTATCAACCCAGCATCATTTTTGTTACCACTGGGACCACCATTGGACGATAGTATGTACTTAATAAGCGTAAATATAAATGACGTAAAGTTCATGTTTTATATTCTATCTATACATGAATATAAGCTATAATATTATGAATTTTTACATAAATCTTAATGCTCATTAACAATTAGATAGAAATCTAGAACTGCTTACAACACTTAAAAAGTACTAGTTAGATTCATAGTTAATAGAAGTCACTTTAGTGATGCAATTTGCATATTCCCAGTAGACTTTGAATCCTAGATCAAGGAAAAACGTTTCAAGATAAAAGCCATAAGATTCGTACTTTTTGTACTAATCATTTATTTATTTGTTCATGAAATTTTGGCTTTTAATTGGAGTGTGTATTTCTGATTCTCTTTTTCTACAAAAGTAAATTATATATCACAGTGCCTACTAATTTGTTGTCGTTTGATCACACCTATATTAAACGACTATGACTAGATGGGCATGCAATGCATATTAAGAAAAATGCGTAATGTTTTTTTGGGTGGATATCAACGTGATGAGAATAGTTTTATCACGTTGGAAGAATGCGATAAAACTTATTACATTTTACAATAGTATGTATATTTTATTTCCTTATCATTTCCATTTAATAGTAAAATATATTCCATTTCAACAAGTGATATTATATTATTATTGTTAATATCATATATACTTTTTAGGTGCTGATTGTATAGTAATCTTATTCCAAATAAATAATCTATATATATTCCAATGAAAGAACGAATGATACAAGTATGTGCAAGAAATATGTAAATCTTGTTAACAAATCTTGGAAATCATTTTTCAAATCAAGAAAATGAATATTAATTATGCGTGAGATTTTATCTTATTTTTTTTTATAGTAGTGTGGTATTCCACAAATGATGTAAATTATAATTAATAGATAGGAATACGAGGATTTAATAAATAAACGAGACAGAGAAGCATATAAATTTGTACGAGTTGTGTGGAGTATGATACAATATATATGCCTATACGTGAATAATTACTATGAACATTGCCTATGAACAAAAATTTAAATTACTTATGAAGATTATAATAAATGAACAAAAATTTAAAGATAAACCTAGAAAAAGTTTATGGAAGGTATTGTTTAAATATGGTTTTTGTCATAATATTCCTTTGTTTGAGATTAACATAATCACAAACTGTTACCTAATTGTCAAAGCTCTAATTGGTTAGATTCTACTTACTATATTGTTTCTTGTCCTATTCTCGCTTCATACAAACTTCTTAAAGAGTACTTAATAAGCCTTCCAAAAACATAATGAAACTGTAGGGAACCAATGAAATTCCAATTTCCGATCGGAAATTATAGTTATAAACATATTTCATTAATATAGCAGCCTCGCTTTTACTTTAACAGCGTACATGGTTCGTATTAGAAATGAACTTATTGGTATTACCAGTATATTTTACGTACTATATAATAAGCGGCAACATATCATTGTGTTTGACCGATGGTACAAAAGATAACAACAAAATTTATCTATGGTAGATACGAAGTATTGTTAAGATATTTAATATTTTTCTATACTGTTATATATATATTGTTACTTCATATATTTATTTTTATTGAAAAGTGAAAAATTTATTATATTACTCGTTACAATACATGTATTTAAAAATTCTATGAAATCAATGATTAATATATTCTATATGAAAATATTTCGGAGATACAATTATAAATAAATTTATTATATTAATGACTTTAAAATTATATTATATCAATTACTGAGAACAATTTTTGAATATATATGAAATTAATATACGGCAAAATAAACAAGAATATTTTTTTTATGATCTTATAAACATTTCGCATTAAACGTTTCAAGAATTATAGATAAAAGGGACAATAGAGTTCTCTCTACTAACAATAAGTGTTTTATAGATTACAACTATTGATTGACTTATATTGTATAACGTGCAATTACGATTCTCGCTTATGTATTTTCTTATTAATATCTGCGATAGAAATAGTCGCCCCTATTGCGCATCTAATTTATAAACAAATTAAACAGATATAATATGAAAAGAATAATAGAAAAGATATACGATTACGTTCAATGTTACTTACTCGATAGATTTTTTGCAAATTATCAGACTGATATTGATAATCACCGATTAGCCTTGAATAATAAGTGGTTATGGTAATAACTTTATAATAAATTCGTAGAAAATGTGTAGTTTTGCTTCTCGTATATTACGTTATATAACGATCTATTGCCAATGAATATAATTGTTGATTAAAAAAGTACATATTCTATACGTCATCAATGTAAATATAAGAAAAGATAACATTACAAATACTAACATATACTATAGTTAGTGTTCGTTTAAGTGGGAATTTCATGCCGCTTATATGGCTCAACTGCAGTATATATAAATGAGAGAAAACAGATAATAAACCAGCAGTTAATAAGAGTCAGTTTGGCGATTGTATCCGTAGATTGCAACTTTGTTCTGAAATTCTAAATCAAGTAGGAAAAAATTTCAAAATGAAAACTAAAGTATTAGTACTGTGCCTATTTCTTATTTGTTCTCTTTTCCATGAAAATTCAGCAGTCAACAGTGGTATGTATTTCTTATTTTTTGTTTTATATATATAATTATTCGATTATTTTATATACTTCAAATATCTTTTTACTCTACCTTTTACGGATTTGAATTATTTCTCTATGAACACCTTTTCACACATATCCAATAGTACCAAAAATGTCGCGTCTATTTATCGCTTTTTTGGAGTCAACAGCACATTGTTTTTATTTTTCTAAACAGGTCATCCATTCATTTTATTAACCGAACCCACGTTGCTTTAATTTAGAGATTTGAAGGGAACTAGTAATTCAATGTTGCTAGGTCGTTGACTTACTATTATACTTTGAATATATGAATGAGTAAAACATAAATTCTTGGTTTTCCATAAATATAAATCACATTATATATATATATATTGTAATAATTCCTATAGGCTGTAATGAACCGATCACTGTCGGCCCGTGTAGAGCATCCATACCGAGATGGGCATTCGATGGGTCAAAATGTATAAAATTCACTTATGGTGGGTGCCAAGGTAATGGAAATAATTTTATGACGAAGGAAGAATGCGAAAATGCTTGCAGTGGTAATTAACAGTAGTATGTATTGGTTTATTACTCAACACTCATTGTTAATTGTGAAATATGTTTCATTTCAATGAGAATATATTTTTTAGGTTCATCCTATTTGTTGTATACGTTCCTACCATTCTTATTGCTAAGTGATCTATATTTGTTATATAATGGAAAATACAAATGATATAAATATGTAACTAAAAATATGTATAAATCTTTGAAATAAATTTTGAGAAACAATTTAAAGGTCAAGAAAATTAATAGTAGGTGTTTGTAAGGTCTGTCTTGGTTAGCCCGTTAACAAGGGCGCAAGAGGAATTCATTGGAGTCAAACACGACTCCGCCAAGCACATGTAACTATCTTGAATCTTTCCTTCCTGAACGTCGTACATCCTTTGTAAAGAAGCCAACTTGCTTGGTTCGTCTTGTCAGCTCCCGTACATGGGTATGCCTCACTAACGATTAGATTGAATTAGGTTGGAAGTGAGATCCATTACTGCTACATCGCCTTATACTTGTTTTAAGGAGCTAGACTCTCGAAGTAGAGAAAATAAGAACTATTTGCGGCATTCCTAACGCGGATGATTCACTTATCCGTTCGAGGGTTTATTGGTGCCACGTCGTAAATTTTCAGGGTTCATTTTCCCTGACATTTCTTCGTGCCAAGGAAAAGTTCTTTAAACTGAAAGCAAGACACATTCATACACTCTATCTCTACGTCCATAACTACTTTCCGCTAACACCAATTCTAAATTATGTTGACCATTTACAAAGCAGTAATCTATTTAGTATTACTATTTTAGATCGTTGTTACATGCATGTAGGAGGGTATAATACGAATTTCAATCGTTCATATCTCATGTATTTGTCATGATTATAATCTCATCATTTGTTTTAAATTTCTCCAGAATCTGATGTCGTTATGTTTTAAAATCGATATCACTAAATTTGCATTTTTTGCCATATAAGGTATATTTCTATAACTTTGATAAAAATAAGGAAATCTATGATTACAGCGGTGTGGCATATTACATTTAACATGTATAAGTAATATAGTATAATCGGCAGACATGTCCATAATATATACAATAATAATTTCGATAGGATTCTCTTGGATATAGAAAGAAATATATCCTTTGAAGTTTTCATACGTCGAAAAAATATTTATTCAAAACGTTTGATTTCGCGCTCTCTCTCTCTCTACAAATATAACAAATAATATTTTTCCGGCATAGCGAATTCGTTTGAGCAATATCTATTTTCAAGGGACAACGAAGATAGATTCAACCTCGAACGATCTATCTACACTAAGGAGTGTGGTGATTTACATACAACAAGGTACCGCAATGATTGCTCTTGGAATATATTAACCTGCATGCTCCAGATAAAGGTAGATCGTTGTACTCGGCCGGACTTAAACGTTTACTATATCGTTGCTTAGCACGCGGAATACTAAGTCGTAATGTAAGAAAGTGATATTGAGGAAACGAGAGAAAAATAAGGTGTTTTCATTATTACTGATTTGAGGAAAATCAGCGATCATTTATCTTTATTTGTCAAGCGCCCTTAATTATCTGACGCCAACAAAAATTGTCTTTTTTTTTCTTTTTCTTTTTCTTTTCTTTTTATTCAGTCTATAGAGATTCTTTCTTATCTTTATCTCGCTCTTCCATTCTATCCTTTCTTCTTTCTTTCTCTAGTCAGTTACACACTCCCTTCTCTTTCCAAGACATTATCCGTACCCTTACATCGTATTTCTTATCAGTACCAGCTTCAGGCAAACGTACCCTATTCTAGACTCCATCATATTAGTCCTTATTACTTCTTTGTTCGTTGCTTATCGTTGAAGAATGAAAATGAACTAAGAAGATCGCAATTGTGGTAAATCGACGATCTGAATAGTACTATTAACGATTGCATAAACGAATTAAGTTTTATAAAACATTAGATATATATACGTCCATGTAGTATTTCACCAGTTATTCACACACACACATGTGTTACTTTTAAAGTTATCGAAATTATATTCGAAACTTTATAGAATTTTCAATACCTTAGATTGATCTCACCGATGTTGAAATAAAAAGTTTTGGAATTGATTACGAGAGTTGGAGAAACAAAATGGAAGAAAGAAAAAAAATAGAAAAAACCTTGACGAGTCTCGGGAGGAATCATGGTTGAATGTATATATCGAAGATAAAGACGTGTTACTAAATTTATGAGTTACGAGTTTATACAAATATAAAACATCGTGTTAAAATAAAATTGGAAGCATTACGGTAAAATATTTGTTATGATTTTGCAAATATAAAATCGTGATCGTATTCTTTTCTCTTTAGAACTACTTTTCTCGTTACGAGTATCCATTGCGAATGTAATACTTTCTTTATTGAAAACAATATGAATGATATTGACGATAATGGGATGACGCGCTTGCACATATTGCGATCAATACATATTAGAATTTGATAAACATCGCTAGTTGGCTCGCTTTTATTCGCTGCAGATACATAATATATTAATGCAGTAATAAAATATATTTATGTATAATATAGATAAACAATATATTCATACGCTAGCGTATTTCGATAACAGTTACTTGACAATAATAGTATACTGTTGGTCCGTTGATAATTTTTCGGTATACGAGATCGTATAGTCTGGCGACGTCTGTTTAAAATGGACTTTCTTTATCCGATCAATAAGAACATTCGAGATTCATTCTCGCGCGAATAATGAAGACTGGCAGAACGAATATTATATGCGAATTGCTATTTCCAACCTATATTTCGTATATAGGAAACGGACTAGACGAGGTCGACCAGGGAAAATGGACGTATGCATTTTTATATAGGATTAAGCGACTACGTTTTCGAAAAGATTTGACGATTTTGACGTTTCAATTCGAATACTTAGTGTTACGTCCTGTAGCGTAATAAAAGGTGTGCTCAGTTTTTGGTCAAGCTTTAAAGCCTTTACCAGGGAATGACCTAAAGAATTGTGAGTGGGTTGGTGAGTGATGAGATTTGGATGTGACAAACTGGAGGGGAAGGGGCTTGTTAAAGTATGAATTTGACTGGCGATGAAAAGTGGATATATTTTAAGGATCCTAAGCGGAAAAGGTCATGGGAAATTTACTTACTACTTACTACTTTACTACTTATTTGCATCGATGTGACACGCACTTGCTAAGCAGCGCTTCACTTCTTACGAAAATGTACGAAAATTGTTCGATGACTGGTTTGCCTCAAAAGAGCAACAGTTTTTTTGGCGTGACATTCACAAATTACCAGACTGGTGGGAAAAATGTAAAGCTAGCGATGGACAATACTTCGAATAAAATATTTTTTTATCATTTTCATACAATAAACGTGTATTTTCTGTACAAAAATTCCGGTTTATTTACATACCTGGTAACTGTCCTCGCCTTTCCTCCTGATCTTCTTTATAGACTTATTCCTACTCCCACTTCTTAGACCAATTTCTTCGTTGCATAACGAATCAGTTCTCAGGATATAAAACTTAGTTCCTTATTAGGTAGTTACATTGACGCCTATAAGGCTCATTGGTTTAAGGAATTAACAAAGAGTATATCTTCTGGGGGTGAAGTCCAGACAACTTCGGATCCACAAATTTTGATGAGTCGGCGCCTATGAGTAAGAGAACTGATCCTTTGTCGAATAGTTTATATTTCTTAAGAACGGTAATAAAGACGAAATCTCCAGGATGTTTATTTAAGGTTATGCGTACCTTTTATTTGTAAACGATACGGCGTGAGTCCGGAAAATGTTTGTCATCCGTGTTCCCGTAGTTTAAGTAATAAAATTATATCGAATTACCTGATAAAAGCCTTCGACGAGGAAAATATAGGACGTAACACTTAGAATGATTAAAAAATCAATATAATTATAATTCGGATTAGGATTTCTGTATAATAAGAAAAGTAAATAATTTCTTGAGCGGTGGCAGTATGATAACGAAGATAAATGAAGGATGAATCAGCAGAAAAGGAAGAACGTAATCCGGGAGTAAGTTCGTTCGAGGTTTTAACTGTCACACGTGTTTCTCCTTGATAGTCGATTAACTAGGATGCTCGCGAATCACGATTTATACGGAAAACGCTCCACGAAATTATGGCCTCTCGGATTTCCGTAATGCCAAGATTTGCTGCTCTTGAAGCCACCTAATCCAAGCGCATGCTGGAAGACCCTCTTATCTTAGGACCACGCTCTTCGAGGAAGGAGAAAAGGGGAAGAAGGTTGGCCTGGAAAGGCAAGAAAGTAAGACGATTACTTTAGGCGCAACGCAACATAAAAACTCTTAAACATGGGGGAACATTACGCGAACGAGTATACCTGCAATTATGCTTTATATTGCAACGTCTCGCAAGCCGGAAGGTAATTACGCAGAAGGCTCTTTACCATCCTCACCACTCGTCTTCGAATCCCTCGATGGGATCTCCATAATCGCGAATTCCCAGCCGAGTTCGTTCTTTTTATTTTTTTCTCTTTCTCTCATTTTTTATCTTTTTACCTTTTTAGAACCAGACGTCGAAGAAATCGGGCAGGTCCGTAATTTCAGAAATAGCTATCGAAACTGCTAAGTTCTTGTGGCGTTCTTTCAAAAAAACAAAAGTTCGGAGACGCCCTGCGCGAGAACTCTGGTAATTTCTGACTTCTTCTGTCCAAGGTGAACAAGTAGCCACCTGCTCGATTACGATCCTGACAGTATAACCTTCGGAATCGTATTATCTGCTGCTAGACGATCCCAATCCGAATGACTAATCGAGAAAAGGATACTTTTCGATCTCACCTTTTTCAAATTTAGATCGATAATCCGTCGACGAGTTCTCGACAGAAATATCTACGAAACTATTTAATCCTTAATATTAATGCAAATTCCACCGTTGTAATTTAACGTCAAATGTATTAATATGCAAATATTTATCGTTGGACGATCTATCTTGTAGTGCCGATTTCAAAAGATTCCTCTTTGGGGGAATCGATATCTCGTGAATAAGAAGCTACACGTTTAATGGACTTATTTTTAAAAGATGGATCGTGATTCTCTAATTCTGCTAGCAGAAAGTATCCAATATGAAATGTCCAGACGCTTTGCCAATGCACGCGATCACGATTTCATGCTTGAATCGATCGATAGATCGACTTAGATGGGAGTAGGACGTTTTCTTCTTTTCCAATCGTATCGCGGAATATCGAATAACTAGATCCTCTTAAAATGCGTGCTTT